TAAAATGTAAAACTAATCTTAATATAAAAGGAAACGAACTGATGAGAAAGAAATTCTCGGCACTATTTTCCAAGAAACAAATAAATGTCAATTTAACATTAATTTAATTATAATTTGAAGATAATCGATTAGTTAATCAGCGAAAAGAAAATTTAATTATTTATACTCATAATTCATACTTCAGATAAGTGACGGATGAGATAGATTGGTGAATGGATATTAAATACTACGGCTAGCACAAGCATTCGTGAAAAAGGCAAACGGCGACTTATGTTAGGCTCTCGTTTGGAGGGAAAGGTGACTTCTGCCCCAGACTATAACTCAGGGCGGAATACTATGTCAAAAACCCAGGTCTGCTCTGGGAACGAGAACACAAACGTGAAATAATAGAAAAGACTTACCTAGTCTTGATATAATGAATGAGGATGTAAATAGGGATGTATGAGGTTTTATTCACAATAAAACCAAAAGGACAATATAATAAAGATGATGGGGATGAAAGACATAAAGAGGAAAACAATATCAAGATCAATAACAAGATCAACAAGAAGGATGGAATAGGGAATGAATCATGTGAGAAAAGGAAAACGAATAAACACTGGATCGTCCATGGAAGATATATATATGTATATATATCTATATATAGAGGAAAGGAAAAGACCCATAGTGTACAACTGGACGTTAGCGGTAATAGAGTGACCTCTATTGACGCTAACAACTTATCTAACCAGTTTCTAGTATTTAGAAAACTACAACCGGAACTACTATCATAGAAAAATGTTCGTTTCTCTTTCGAGTGATAAATTTAACTTGATTTGAATCAAATTCTAAAGTATCGAAGTTTCAAGATGTGGTATAACCAGAAGCAACACTCATACACTACGACATCTCATAATTCTAGTATGTTCTAAGCCGATTCCAAAATTGATTAAGTTACACCTATGCACGAGGATCATTATGAATTTTTTCTCTAGGGGCCTATGAAAGATGCGCACGGGACGACAGATGAAGGTTCTGAAACAGAGCGGATCGTTTCAAACTCACCACCCTCATTCTCACTTTACGCCCTCATCCAGCGCCCTCAGAATCACCGTGCGCATCTTTTGGGATCCCATATCGTATATACTATGTTCACACTAATCTAGCGATTATCAAATTATTTTTGTACAGGAGCTGGCAATTGTTAACAATGTTATAAGTGCCCTATTGTTTCTCTTATTCTGAATGATTTTCCGCAGAAAAGAACTTACGTTAATCGAACATCTTCAGTCTTATGCACAAGAAGAATCTGCATTGCATGTAGTAAATGTAGCATTAATTTTTATGGTATAAGTTAGAGGTTAAATGACCTGCTCAGTTAGGTAACTACTTTGTGAACGAAACAGAACGCAAATGAAGTCAAAATGAAAAGAACAGGCTAACAATCGGACGAGAGAGTGATAAAAGAATAATGTTTTTTCTTTCTCCGTGTAGTGGACGGAAAGAAAAGACAGAACGAGAAAAATTTCTTTAAAATGTGGATGAATGATGAACTCTGTTTCTATCTGACGAAAAGAAGTAGATAAAATATTAAATAGTTAATTATTGAAACTTTTATTGAAACAGCTAAACTCTAACTCATTTTATAATTATAAGCTATACGAGAACAGACTAACTGATTTACCTTGATTGATTATGCTTATTACTCATACATACTTGCACTTTTAAAAGAGAAATACAGAAGATTATGGTTATCAGATAATCTAAGGAAGAAGGAATCATTTATTTAGTCAATATGACATATTGATATAAATTAATATTAATGATAAATTCCATTTACCATCAATATCGCACCCGAGCTTTTACTTTTTATTAGTAAGATATGCAGGTTCTATCTATCAGTAACATGTTATTAATAGGCGTCAAATAGTAACACTTAATACATGCTAGAAAGTAACAGGACTGATTACTTACTATTTCATGTTACGTGATCTAGATACCTTCGACCACGTATAAGTATCAGAGAATAGTTAAACAAAACACTGACCGCTCATTAGTAACCGGTGAGCAGTGCAAATTACTGCCGGCCAACAACTACTAAGGTGAGATGCACATTACTATCTGAGAACATAATAATAATATAATTTTTGTAGTTTTGATTTTTCCCTTAATAATCAAAGGAAAACGAAAAAAATTTGTTAAAACGTGTTTTTTTCGAAAAAAACGTGGAATTGGGGCGTTTTTAACGATTTTGGCTGATATGCTTGAAGAAAAACTGTGAAAACGCGTCTAGAGTAAGAATTTCGCCTATAAACACGTTTAAACACGTGAAAACGCTTTAAACGCTTGATAAACGAGTTTAAACGCAGTTTTGACCGTTAATTGTCTGCCTGGGTGAGGGTTCAAAAGCTCTGCTCTAGTGGCCAGTTGTTTCTCATTGCCACAAAAACCCCCTTCGGCTTTTAAGGGTTAAAAGCAGGTCACGTTCAAGTTTATTATGAAAATAAATCTTTTTACTGTTAATATAGTAATGTATTATGGTAAAAATAGAACAGAATATTTAGAATTTTTAATTTTTAATTTAAAGTTTTCAAATAGATGATCATATTAATGATGTTCTTGGTGATGTTCATGATCACGATGGCAAAAATACATCATTATATTAATCATTGAATATTACGAAGAGACTGCAATTTGAGGACGTGATTCATCAAAACAAGATTAGACAATAAATTCTTGAATGTGAAAGCGATCATGATATGAATTAAATAAATTGTTTTGATTTTTTTTAGAAAATTATTTTTTATTTTAATTTTTGTTGAAATAAGAATGAACAAAAGTTTTGTGAAAATTTTCTCATCATGGTTTAAAAACTGAATAAGATAAACAACAATTAATTATTATTGCTTTACGAGCACATCAAGCAGCTTAATAAAATAAAGCAAAAATAAAAACTGTATATACATAAATCACAAAAAAAAAGAAAAAAAAGTTCTTTTCTTTTGTTACTTTCAATATTCTTCTCATTTTTTTTGGAATCTTACCTTTTCATATATATGTAAGTTAACCTTGGTTATTATCATCAATTTACATGCTACTTCATTATCTTTTTTTTGTAGATCTGTATTGTATTGAATTAAATAAAATATTGTATCAATCACTTGGTAATTATCCAATTAACAGTTATCTGGTAACCAATGAATATATAGAATGATGAGTTGAAATAATGAAATCACATTTTAGTGATATTTGTTTGTTTAGAACCAGTCACCAACAAAAATTACCTGGTAACTGGTTTCATTACTTGTTATCAATTAATGGATAACGAATCTATCACTGTTACTTGATAACGTAACGGTAACTTCCTTCTTCTAGATATACCACAACTAGATATAGTATGTTTTTTTTTGTAAGTAAATGAAAATATGAAACAACTTTTGGTGATTATCATCTATAAATAGATAAAGTTTTATCAGATAATAAATATTGAGGTAATGATGTTTCAAATATCTGAAAAGAAATTAATTATATTTATCATTGATGATGATCTTTTAGAAAATTATGGTGATCATCATAAAGATTTTTTTTCATATATAAATTATTCAAAATATTTCTTTGGACCAGAAAAAAAAGAACAAAACAAAGAAAGAAACATTGCACAAATTTAAAATACAAAAGAACTGTTGATGAGAAATTCGTGAGGTTGTTGTGTAACATGCACAAAAAAAATTAGATTTATTCTTTTTTTTTATTCAGCATATTATGCACAAGGAAGTGGATTATCTGATCAATATTGTAATTGTTTATATGCAAAATAACTTGCAAAATTTTTAAAAATAATTTTGCTATTAAAACGTTCAAATAAACTTTTTTTTGCCATTTATCAATTTGAGTAAGTTTATCAATGGAACTTGAATAGAATATTCATTGTTTAAACATCATTTATTCAATGTTTTGTCTTTTCATTGTCGTTTTGTCGATAGCAAATTATTTTCATTAATATCATTTTTAGTTGATAAACGATTATGCGTTTCACATTCTGCTGTTGGTTCAAGTATATATATTGTTGATACCTAATTATGATTATTTTTTTGGCTTTTTAATATGACGATGGTGAATTTGAATTCGAAAATTCTATAAAAACTTCTTTAATACGTTCATCTAAATATAGATCATATCCTTTAATCAATACAATATAATATTACCTTCTTCATAACTTTTAGACATCCGTTGATGACTTTTTTTGTTTATTGTTGCACGTTGTTCAGGATCATAGATTAACAGCTGACGAAGAAGATCAAATATAGTATTTTGTATATTTTTCCATGAATGATTGTTATATCGACCATGGAACCATAGTTGACAATTACGATCTTTATGAGATGCTTCGGTCCACGGTAAATCTTAACCAAAACAAAATAAAATACAAAAAAAAAACAAATGTTATAATAATATTTACTTCCGACCAACATAAATATTAGAATAATGGCAGAAGACCATATATCAGCAGGTTCACCCCGATAGGGTAATCGAGAGTAAACCTAAAAGAAAATTATTATCACATTTTATTCATCTTCATTAGAATCAATTTACCTGCGGTGACATATAAGATCTTGTGCCATAATAGGTCGTCAATAATTTTTCGTCATGAGTTGTTTCATTTCGAAACAAACTCGCCAATCCAAAATCGATTATTTTGATCAGATCTAGTTAAAAAAAAAAGAATATTTCTTTTCTTTTTATTCATTATTATTTTACTACTATGTCCGATAAGAATATTCTGTGGTTTAAGATCTAATTAAAAAAAAAAGAAATTTATAAATTTTATTAAATAATTCTCAAACCTCTATGTACAACACCAAGACTATGGATATAAGCCTACAAAACAAAAGTCTAAGAAATTCTTGTTTCTTTTTAAATCAATTTCTACCATTTCAGTAATAAGTTGTTTGAAATAATGTTGTGCAACACCTTCTCGAAGACTACCATCACATCCTAAGAAAGAAAAAAATTTTTGTTTTTTAATATTTCTATGATTACTCTCGAACCAATTTTGTTCAATAGTGAACCACCAGCAACATATTCAAGATATATTTGATGATTTGTAGCAGATTCTACAGAACCATAAAATCGAATAATATTTTCATGTTGACATAATTGAAGTAAATTAATCTAAATATGCTTTTGTTTAAAAAAAAACGAAAAACTAAAGAAATAATTAATACTTCATCTTGAATGTTAATATTTTTTTCTTTTAGGAGTCATTGATAAAGGACGTCTCCCAAAAAATGACATTTTAGGTATCGGTGTGCGGCGTAGCCCAGCGAATCCAAGAATTTCTGAAGTCTGACGCGATCCGGATCTAGTCAAATTACTTTTTCTGAACTCGAATCGGGATCCACACCCGATCAATCAAGAGTTTCAGATCTGAAATTGATTAATTTTTTTTGTTTTTTGTTCTGTTTTGTGGGCTCTCGACTTGAACTCTACTCTGACTTCTTTTAATAAAATTTTCTAATCTAATTTTGATTGTCATTCAGAAAATACGATATATTTTTCAATGTTTTCATGTTAGATGACTAGTATATGTAGAAGTCTCAATTCTTACGAGGAAACATATTTAAATGTATCCACGCCAAGAGAGATTCAAAACCTTCTATCCTATAGAATCATCTATGAGTATCTCAAATATGAATATCGTAGCTGCCATCGTTTAAGTTTAAGGAAAAATAAGACATAAGTTTTTTCAGGTGTCGACCCTACTCTGCTAATCTGTAGCTATATTATAAAGTTTTTCTATTTGTTTTTTTTTAATCTTTTTGAAAGTTCGCTAAAATTATCATTTGTTTTTTAGAAATCAATTCTAGAAAATAAATAAGATTCATTTTTTTTTCAAGCTATATCTCTGTCAAAAATAGTAGTTTTGTATTTGATTTTTATCTAAGTATTCGCTTCATTGAAGCTTTTAATTTTTCGACAATTTGCTAATCATTATCAAGTTTATATGGAGCAGTAAAATCAAAAAGATGGAGAAAGTGTAAAGAAATAAACTAAAAACGTTTTAGATTCTCGACGAAAAAAATATTGAAAATATCAACTTTCATCGCACCAGTTGCAGCATATAAAGATCTGTTCATTACATCCAAGAATAGAACTGGTAGATTTGTCGAAGAGAAGCATATATCTCGAACATTTTTGCATCTGTCAAGTTCTTAACTTTTATAACCCTGTGAGAACCATGCATCTTTAATCATAATGGAAAATCGAGTGAGGGTGTGGGTGTGGGTGTGGATGCTGTCTTCTTTCCGTTCGCATGCATACACACCTACACCTACACCGATCCCACCCCCACCCACACCCACACCAAATTTAAGTCTTGAGTAATTGAATTCAAATTTTAAGTTTAACATCTGTGACAGATTCCACTGTATCGAATGGACGTATAGATTCGGATAAATTGATTTCGATGTAAAAAAAAGAAAATGTAGTATGATTTTATTTGAGACTTATCTATATTTTGTATGTCTCAGAAAAAGCTTGAGCTGTCTAATGTCCATAGGATTTAATTAGATAGGTACCCTTTCAAGTGGCAGAACAAGCATCAATAATTTAGTTGGCTGACGGTATCTATTTTTTTTTTTATTGGTGAAGAAACAGGGGAAAAGGATTTAATATGAAAGATGACAACGTTTGCAATCTGAAGACATAAAGAAATGCTCTAACTCATCAAACAATTCAATGAAATAAGATTCCAATAGATTGTTTAACTTCTAATCTAAGGTTATTGTCTTTATTAATTGGATATTTTAGGCTAAAAAGCTATATTGGAAGATGTCTAGAAATATGAAATTTGATCACATGATATCTGAATAGATCCAAACAGTGAGATATTAAAACCTTATTGACAATACTAGAGAATAATTTTTAACTGTATGCTAATAAAAATGTCATCTATTATCACGAGAATAAATACGAGCAGCAAATGGTTATCACAGTGAAACATTGTATATTGAATTTAATGTCAAACTTGAAACTTCAATCTTCTTCTAATTTGTGTAGCTTTACAGTTATTAATTTTCTTTTAGTCTTAGTTCATAGAAAAACAATTCTTTGATTCGATAAATTCGAAATATGTTAAGTCAGATTATAGCGAATATCTTGTCAAACAGATGATCTTAGACAATAATCGTAACTAACTAATCAGAAGTTTGATTAAGATACATTAAAAATATCATGTGAAATAAAAAAAAATAAATATTCCTAAAGATGAAGCTATTATCAATGTTGGTTCAGTACAAGCGTGAGTCATATTTAAAATATCTAGATCTTTATTCATGGAATTAATATATTGTTTATTAGTTATGATCCATCAGCAGAAATCCTAGATTATGCTACAACAAAAGCTGCCATTATTAGTTTTACCAAAGGTTTAGTACGTAAACTTTTAGAGAAAGGTATTCGAGTTAATTGTGTTGCAGTATATAAAAAATTTCTTTTTATTTATTTAAATATTGAAATTTGTTTATTTTTCATTAAGCCTGAACCTATTTAGACTCCATTAGTCATGCCATCATTTCCAAAAAATGAAAATGCTACATTTGCTGAAGGATGTCCAATAAAACGACCAACGCAACCATGTAAATTAGCATCAACTGCTGATTCATGAAAATTATATTTCTCATGACTTCTTTTTTCTACTATTTTTCTACCGAAATTCCCTCTAGTACGTTGAGATTCTTCTTTCAACATATATAAATTTATTTTTCTTTAAAAATATTTAGTAACTGATGGTGAACCTATAGTTTAAAACAGATGAAATTAAATCAATGTAATTTTTATTTTTGTATAGTTTACTCATGAGATGGGCATTTTTCGAATAGTTTATTTGTTATTAATAAACAAACATTATGTTTCAAAGCTGATGTATACTCTGATTAACTGATAGTTCTTTTTTCTATAAATAAAAGTTATTTATGATATAAATAGTAGTTATAATCATTTCTTGAATACATTATCATTGTTTTTATAATAAAAATGTTGAATTAAATGATGCGTTGGTTTTTTTGTGGAATTCACATATAGTTTTCCAAAGAAAATAGAAAGTGTAGGTTTTTCGACAACCTCTCCTACCTTCATAGCACCTTTTGTATGTTGCTTTTCAGATCAAGCGACAATGTTTACATTGCAACAAAAATAAGTTAGCCATTCTCGAATTGGTTTTTCCATGTTAAAGAACAACAGAAAAGTTTTTTCGGCAGAATCAACACGATTCCGTGGAGTGAAGCAGAAAAATGTTCATAGAATGTAAATAAATCAAGAAAAACTAATAGATGACCCGCATCCGTACTCACACCATAAAAGAGGATATCGTTTCAGCTGTCCAAAAAACCATAGGAAACTCCAATAATGTGTCTTTGAAATTTGATACTCTTAGACGTCCTAAGTTTCTGATCTATCTGTTTGTCATAGTTCGCTCTAGAACAACTGTTTATATAGAGTTTTATAGAGCATCGAATGGAGATTCTAATGAAAAAAAATTAGCTAGATCGAATCAAATGTGACGAAGTTATTAAAAAAATACAAAATACTGGTTTATTCTGAATCATTCATTGTTCTTGATTATGGAGTCAATCTTTTGTGTAAGTTAAACGGTAGACTATTTTGGAGGTATCTGCGGCTGCTCGCTAGCCTGTTGTTGAGATCTTCTTTCGGCTTCTTGCTTGATCATTGCTTGTTGAACATGAGTTGGTAGACCTGGATTGAGACTCAAAGCGTAAGGCAAAAGCGTTTTAGGCATGTCACCAAAATCAACCATCACTTTGATGAACATTGTGTCGTCTCGTACATAAGGATTTCCTCCTTGTTGAATCATTTCCAATGGGAAAAATTTTGGTATACCACTAGCTATATTCATATCCGATCGAGGTCGTTGAAAACTACTCGATCTAATATCTGGTCGAAATGAATCAATAATATGTCGCTGTGCAGACGTTTGATCGTACAAACAAAATGTGACTTTATAGTTGAACGGAAATTTGAGAATTGGATCGTTTACACTTCGCATAAGCACAAAAAAGAGTGACATATGTGTACGGCGAGCATTTCCATCACCATTTAAATAAAGACGAGCTCTCATTTTATAACCAATTGGAGATGAATAAAATGGAGGTGAATAAATAGATGTTTGCCTTTCAGACTGAGCATCAACTAGAAATTAAGCAAAAAATAATTTTGTGAACAAGAACAGAAGGAAATGTGAAGAAATTTAAAGGATCGACATCATTCACTGTTTATTTCGTCAATGCATCAATAGATTATAGTCATATATTGTATTCAAGAGTAATTATATATTACGTTCAATATGGTATTCGATCACATATGAGACGATTGCAAATCATTTGTGCTGTTTGAATAAAAAAAATAGCTAAGATTGTATCACGTTGGATTCTCAATCGAATTCAATAATTTTTTCAGAAAATATCCTTTATAGGCGTGACTAGTTTGGCTGCTAAAATCGGTCTTCTAGCTAGTATTTATCGTTCAAAGATATGAAAATATTGTCGTTTTTTCACTTGAATTTCACATGGACATGTCCAACAGCAATAAATTAAGCTGATGTATTCATGGTCGTAGATTTGGTAAAAACTGTCCGTTATACTGTAAAATTTTTTTTTCGAATGAAAACGTCAATGAAGCCTCACTGAATTATAGCCAAAAGGTAGACCCAAAGAAACTGCGGTTTTTTGGCAGTAAAATCGTTTTTTTCGACCAAAACAAAAAGAAATCTAGATGTATCTAATATCAATCGAAAACTCCTTGAAAGACTCATCGAACTAGAAGTGAAAATCCTTTACGAGTGCCAAAGGTAAGTTTACTTAGGTTAAAATAAGCTTTAATCCGTCCTTCATGCATGAACAGAAGATATTCTTTGAAAAATAGACTTAATAAAAGATTAACATATTATATAATCATTGATAAACTATTCAAAACCTTGTTTACATACCTTACGGATTCTAATGAATCGGATATTGTTTAAAGCAGTGAAATATAGCTTCTAGATGTGCAATTCATATAAAAGTAATAAAGTACACGATTCAGCCTGAATAATTCAGCTTTTTAAAAAAATTAAATTTTTAAAATTCAAAACTCTGCTATAAAGATCGCCCTAAAAGTAAATACTTATTAGAATTGAATAGCTTATGATTCCGCTTAGATCCATCCTCGATCCGTTTCTCTAAAAGAAACTGTTCACAGTTCCTTTAGCACATTTACAATGACTCGATAATTCTCAAACATAAGTTTAAATTACCAATTTTTCGTAATTTCAGCTATTCTTAATAATAGTAGTCAGACTACTACCGATCTCCTTCATCCCTCTAGTAGCACTATCTACCCCAATACACGAAAGCGTTCTACTGATAAATGAAATTTTTAAGAAAAGTTGAAGTCAAATGATATAAATGGCTTGCAATAGTCTCATATGTATTATTTGTCGATGTTATAGAAACCAAATAACATCTTATTATTTTATTGCTTTTATGATTGAGCGTAAGAGTAATTGTTCAACTTACTCATTTTCTCTTGAAAGTTTGTAATTTTCCATACCAAGATTCCATCATATGAAACGTATCGGAGATTATCGATTTTTTCGTGCACTGATGCTAAATCTTGATTGAGAATGTCTTGATTATGTTTCACTCCTTCCAGAAAAGCATTTGATTCTTCAATTGATAACTTAAGTTTTGGTATTTCTTCTGTCAATGTTGGAATTGTTACTTGAATTCGAAGTGATTCATTGCTTAGACGCTGTTGATCATTGTTCAATGTTTCAATACCACATGACAAGATGTTGAGCATTTCATAAAGTTCTTGTAATTGAGCTGTGCCTGGATTACTAGTTTCTGCAGTTGTTATTCGAGAAAGATCATTATCTATTTGTCTATCGCTTAATTGCAATAACATTTGACGAACAACTTTCATTATGGCATGTTGATGCTGTTCAGTTAAATAATGATCTTCTATTTTGGCAAGGATAATCTTAAGAACAAAAATTTTCAGACTTTATTTTTATCTGGAAAATATCCGTACTTGTTCATTACAACCAATGTCTTTCAATATACAATCGACAATCAGTTTCTGACATTCGGAGACTTTATGTTCATTGTATTTGTTAACCGAGTTGAATTCTTTGCCACAATGTTCGCATTTCAGATTTGAATGATGTTCATCTAGATGTTCCTTTGAGAGAAAAAGATAGAATATTCATCAATAAAATTAATATAAAATAAATTACTTGATAATTATATAAGACGCCAGTCCATTGACAAAAAGAACAATCAATAGGTAGTGATTTCATATCATTTTTGAAGCCTCGATCAAGCAGAATCTACAGATATCAGATGTTTTTTCTCTTTATTTATGAAGAGATTTATTACCTCGGTTCGTGATGATTCAGATTGGCATAGTGGACATTTAATTGTTATTCTTGAAAAAGAATAATGGAGAATAATACTACAAATTGATAATGAAACTTACTCATGTTGAGCATCGAAACATGATTGACACTGTCGGTGGCCACATTCGCCCAATTGTACAGGATCCCGTAGTATCAATGAGCACACAGGACAAATATACTTTGTATCAAGAATATGTTTATTTTTTGCATCAATGCCTACTGTTGTTTTAACCTGACTAATATGAAACAATTGTTTTATGCTATTTAGATGTATAATGAATTGCTTCTTATCAGCGTGTGGGATGTGAGTGTAGATGCGAGCGTTGATCATCTCTTAAACAACACCCATATCCATACCCACACCCACACCCTCCAAACATTAGGACTGATTGGAACTGAAAGAGGATGAGGATGAATGACTAGTTGATTTCGCTGAATCTAAATAGCACTGCGTGACTATAATAATTCCAAGTGAATCCAGGTAACGTCAATGTCAAAGGAAACAACTGGTACTTATAAACATTACACACTATCATTTCTTTCGAGATCTCGAAACTATCGACACTATTTCAAGAACAAAAAGTATCTGGGTTGCATGATTGCAGAGTTTATGTTGTTTTCAATTTGAAACTGGAATCGAAATCAAAAACTATTGCATGGTTTTCCACTCGTATATAGCTGTAGTCAAACATTTATGCATGTATATATGGATCTATGCACGCTTCATTACCGAGCAAATAGTTCTAGCCCCTTGTGGGGATCGAAAAATCAAATCGTACAAAAAAGCAATATTCACCCCTTTTGGTTTTGGTTCAGCTTTCGACACTATCTCGGAAATTGAATGCAGTCTTTCCACTTGATCGACGAACGCTTTAATCAATTTTTGTCGTTCTTCTTCACTAGAAAGAGGTAACTCTACGCATTTGTCACTGCCATACACCACAACAGTGTTGTCAATAACACAAACAGCAGTTCCTTGCAACAGTGCAACGTGTACTACAATTGGCAGCCACGCTGGATTTTTTGTATACAAAAATACCTTGATGAAGTGCTCCGGAAGAACAGTCTTCAGATGACGCAACGTAAGTCGATTAATACAATAATAAAGCTTTTGAACTGTATCGGAATGTAATTGTGTCACTGCCGAAAACGAAGGAAGAACTCTTCCAAGAGCGTCAATAATCTCGTCCGTTTCTGTAATTTTGTTACACCAAAGATCAGTCGTCGGTTCATTAGTCACATCTTTGGTACCGTCTTTTTCACCTATTCTTTTCCCAATATCCTCTCCGCTCCATCTGATACGTGGATTCTCATATGAAAGTACAGTAACCAGTTTGCTGATCACTTTATCGGTCACTGCCTTTTCTCCCATTTTTCCCAAAGCGGTGTATGCACTCTGTCTCGCCTCTGGATTCTCATCCATCAATACAGTAATAAGTCCGTTGATTATGTCATCGGTTGCTGCTTTTTCACCAATTTTCCCGAGAGCGTCGCATGCACTGCGTTTGACTTCCGAATTTTGGACATTCAGCTGGTCATTCAGTGCAGCCACCAGCATATTGATCATATTACCCGTAGTTACTTGTCCAACTAATTTGCCAAAGGCTTCACATGCACTCGACATGACGTCCCGAGCACTATCCCCAAGTGCACTAATTAGTCGATTAATGACTTCACTTGTTGCTGCCTTTTCACCCATATTACCCAGAGCTTCACAAACACTCCACCTGACCCTCTCATTACTGTCCTCAAGTGCATGAACTAGTCGATTAATGACCTCACATGTTGCTGCCTTTTCACCCATCT